AAGCGCAGGCTGGAGCAGCTCCTGGTGGGAAGGGCTGATGAAGGAGAGGTTGGTGGGGGATCTGCCATGGGAGGGACCCGTGGGAAGCAGGGCAGGGCTGTGAGGAATCCTTCTTCCTGAGGAGGAAGGAGCAGCAGGAACCACCAGCCTGGGAACTGACTCTAAACCCCATCCCCATCCCCCTGTGCTGGGGGGAAGGAGGGAGGGAAACGGGGAACAAAGGGATTTGGGGCTGGGAAGGAGGGGGGGGTGGGGTGAGATATTTTGCCTGTGTCCTGTGTGCATTTGATGAGTGTGACATTAAATTAGTATTTTTCCCCAAGTTGAGGCTGTTTTGCCCATGAACTTAATGGGTAGAGGACCCTCCTTGTCCTTTGTCTTGACCCAAGAGCTTCTAGTTGGGTTTGTCCTCCCCACCCCAGGGTGTGTGTTGGGAGCTCAGTGAGTGACCATGGGGCTGGTTCTTTGTTATCCTGTTGTCCCAGACCAGGGCAGTACCTCAAGGAGCAGCCTCCCCATGGGCTCTTCATCTATGGTGATCTCCAGGAACACGAAGATGTGCTGCTCAAAGCAGAAGAACAAAGGCAGTGAGGGAAGGGGCAGCTCTCCCTGCTGCACCCCCTCCCAGCTGCCTGGAGACAACAGCTCTGCAGGGCTGCCAATGACAGCACCAACATTCTTGCTATATTGATTAAAGAAAGCAAAAAAACCCACATTGTTGGGTGTTCAGCTTGATTCTGGACAGAAATAATCCCAGCAGTGTGTTCAAAGTAAAATCCTGGGGCTTCATCTTGCCTTTATGTATGTGTCTATCTCAGCCCAGTCAACAGCAGCAAGGAGAAATGAACCTGCAGGAATGGATGAACCCACCAGCCATCCCAGGAAAATGGACATTTCTGGCTCTCCCCAGACAGCCTCAAATCTGCATGTTCTCAGTGCTGCACCCCCTGTGGTTCTCACTTTGAGATGACATTGTACTTTCCTCTGCTCTCCACACCAGGCTGGTGCTGGCACCATCCCACCTGCCAGCACCACAGCATCTGAGAGGGTCCTGGCTGGGAAAGGAGAGGTTTGGCACTTGGGTACCCAAGGATAAGGGCAGGGTGGTTTGGGATTTTGGAGCAGCACAAGTTGCAGCATGGTCAGTAAATGTGTCTTTGTCAGACTGGTCAGCCCTGAAGCAGCTAATTTGTGTTGGGCATCATAGGATCAGGGTTGGAAGGGACCTCTAGAGATCACCTAGTCCAACGCTGCCACTGAAGTAGGATGCCCTGGAGCACATCCCACAGGGCTGCATCCAGGGGTGAATCTCTCCAGAGAAGGGGACTCCACAGCCCCCTGGGCAGCCTGTCCCAGGGCTCTGTCACCCTCACAGACAAGAAGTTTCTCCCCACCTTTCAGGGGCACTTCCCATGTTCCAGCTGGTGCCCGTTGCCCCTCGCCCTGTCCCTGGGCACTGCTGAGCAGAGTCTGGCTCCATCCTCCTGCACCCACCCTCAGACACTCAGAGGGCACCCAGACTAGTGTTTGTCCCTCCAGAAGCCAAAAAACTGCCACCAGTGCTCACCCTCCTGCCTCCTCACAGGACCTGCCCTCTCTTACCGCCCCTCTCAGCCCTCGCCCTGGGTGCTGAGCCACACGACTTGCCTGGCTGCTTCTCAGGTGTTTGGTGTAGAAATCCTCAGCAATGGCCTGGTAAAGGGCCTTGGGCTTGAAGTCACGATAGTCCCACTCACGGAGAGCCCACTTGAGCAGCTCCTGCTCATCCCCCAGCAGCTGCCCATCCAGGAAGCACATCACGGAGGAGGTGTAAGCCCACACCTCACCTCTCAGCTCCTGCGTTGCAGGGGGAACAACAAAACCTCCAGGGATCCGTGACACACTCAGTGAAGAAGCAGCCAGCAGCTTCCCCCACAGGTAAGGAGGTCTGTGGTGGTTTTGTACCTTTCCTGCTTTTAAAATCACAAACCCAGCCAACTGGAAAGGGTTGGACAGAAGCTTTTGGTGAGCGTGTGTGGATACTGCACAGAGTTACATAGAATCATAAGATCACAGAATGGTTTGGGTTGGAAGGGACCTTCAAGATCATCCAGTCCCAACCCCCTGCATGGGCAGGGACACCTCCCCCCAGCCCAGGCTGCTCCAAGCCCCATCCAACCTGCCCTTCAACACTGCCAGGGATGGGCCAGCCACAGCTTCCCTGGGCAACCTGGGCCAGGCTCTCACCACCCTCACACTCCACAATTCCCTCCTCATCTCTCACCTCAATCTCCCCTCCTCCAGTTTTCATCCATTCCCCCTTGTCCTCTCCCTCCCTGCCCTTGTCCCAAGCCCCTCCCCAGCTTTCCTGGAGCCCCTTCAGGCCCTGGAAGGTGCTCTAAGGTCTCCCTGGAGCCTTCTCTTCTCCAGGCTGAACACCCCATCTCTCCCAGCCTGTCCCCAGAGCAGAGGTTACATGCCCTAAAGGTCTAGAACCTGCTGCTGTGTGATATTATTGTGACAAAAGTCACCTGTGTGTCACTTTGGGGGCAGCTCAGACTGAGAAGGAAAAGCACCCTCAGAGCCCTGAGCATCTCCAAGAATACTGCATGAATTGGGGTGGAAAAGGTGACTTCCAAACCCTGCAGATGGCACCGAGCTGGGAGAGGCTGCAGCCCAGGGGGGAGGACACACAAGTTACCTTCTTTTTCTCCTCTAAATATTCATGCCACGCAAATTCTACTAAAGGCTCTATGACAGGATCAGCAAACTTCTTTGGGAACTTCAGCTTCAGAGCCTGTATTTTCAAGGTAAGGAAGAAGAAACAAATTGTTTACAAGCAGTTTAACACCCTCCCCCACCCTGTCCTATCACAGCTTCTGCTTCCCTCATGAACTACAACCTAAACCACGTCCTAATCCAGTTGTTGCACTGCATCCCTCATCCCTAGGGCACAATTCCTGGCACTTGCAGGAAAACACACAGATTGTTCTGAGTCCCTGTTTGTGGATCTAAGTGGGTGTCTTGTTTTCCTGCAGAGGCTGCTTCACAAGCATTGAATCCTACTGGTGCTCCCTCCCCACCCTTTTCCCCACCAGGTGAGATGGATGTGAGCAGTGGGACATTCCAAGATGTCACTGAACATCATCAACCCCCTTTCTGCACGAGGGGGGAGCCACAGTTCTCTACTGCCCCAGGAGGGCTGTTGAACCTTTCCAGACCTTCTGGCTTGTACCACTGCCTCAGGAGCACACTGTTTAAATGTGGGACATTCCTGTCCATGGAATGAGCCTCATCTCCATGTGGGCTGTGGGACACCAGTGCCACAAGCTGTGGCTTAGAGCCAGCTGAGCTGGCCTTACAAAGAACACAGCAAAGGAGGGACTTTCTGTTCATCTCCTGGTCCCTGTTGCTGTTGTTGGGATGGTGGCTGGAAACCAACCAAACAACAAAAAGGGCAAATCTGAGAAGCACAAACTCCCTGCAGCTATGGGCTGGTCCTGTCCTTAGGGTTGCTGGTAGATGGCAGAGCTCCATCAGCTGCAAATAATCAGAGTCATGGGATGGTTTGGGTTGGAAGGGACCTTCAAGACCATCCAGCTCCACCCCCTGCATGGGCAGGGACACCTCCCACCAGCCCAGGCTGCTCCAAGCCCCATCCAACCTGCCCTTCAACACTGCCAGGGATGGGGCAGCCACAGCTTCCCTGGGCAACCTGGGCCAGGCTCTCACCACCCTCACACTCCACAATTCCCTCCTCAGGTCTCACCTCAATCTCCCCTCCTCCAGTTTTCATCCATTCCCCCTCACCCTGAGCAGGAGCCTGTACAGCCCAGGTCCCTGCACCTGGCAGCACTGAAGAAGAGCAGAAACCCCCAAATTCAGAATGAATTCTTTTGAATTCTTTTCTAAGAGCTGCCACCAGGCCCAGACATTCCTTTGATTATTAAGTTCCAGCCACATCCCTCCCCACTGCTCCCATAGAGAAGCCCTGGAGTTGAAGCCCTAGATTTTAAAGCCTGGAGTTGAAGCCCTGGATTTTAAACCCTGGAGTTGGAAGCCCTGGAATTAAATCCTGGAGTTGAAGCCCTGGATTTTAAACCCTGAAGCCCTGGAGTTGATGCCCAGAATTAAACCATGGAGTTAGAACCCTGGAGTCGAGGCCCTGGATTTTAAATCCTGGGATTAAACCCTGGAATTAACCCTGGGATTAAACCCTGGAATTGAAGCCCTGGGATTAAACCCTGGAGTGAAACCCCGGAGGGGTTTGAAACCCCTGAAGCCCTGGACTTTCAGCCAGGACTTAAAGCCTGGAGTCACATCCTGGAGCTGAAGCCCTGGAGGGAGCCCCTGGAGTTTGAAACCCTGGAGGGAGTCCCTGGAGTTTGAAACCCTGGAGGGAGCCCCTGGAGGGAGCCCACCCCCGGCTCAGCCCCGCTCCCGGTACCTGCGCGGCGCTGCGGGCCGCCTGGAAGGGCAGTTCCCGCATCAGCCCCACCACCCGCAGGCTCCTCGGGACCATGGCAGCTCCGTCAACACTGCCCGGCGCCAGGGCAACCGGCCCCGCCATCCCGCAGGGGTGGGCAGTGGGTGCAGGGGTGGGCAGTGGGTGCCCAGCAAGAGGCCGGGAGAAGGAGCAGCTGGGAGAGCAGCGCTGCCCACAGGCTGTCCCAGCCCCAGGAGGAATCATTCAGGTTGGAAGGGACCTTCAAGATCATCCAGTCCCACCCCCTGCATGGGCAGGGACACCTCCCACCAGCCCAGGCTGCTCCAAGCCCCATCCAACCTGCCCTTCAACACTGCCAGGGATGGGGCAGCCACAGCTTCCCTGGGCAACCTGGGCCAGGCTCTCACCACCCTCACACTCCACAATTCCCTCCTCATGTCTCACCTCAATCTCCCCTCTCTCAGTTTAAAACCACCCAGGTATCTTTCCATTTAACTCCCCTTGGTGGCTCCTTTTTCTCATGTGAGTTTCAGGGAAATGTAAAAATCCAGCCCCTGAGAAAACCCCATGGCAAGGAGATGAATTTCATTTCATTTCATTACACCCTGTGTAAAACTCTGCTTTCACTTTTGATGCAGCAACTCCTCCTGGCAGTATTCACTGGGTGCTGCTGAGACATCATTCCCACCAGCAGCCTGGGATGGGGATGGAGAGGGCAGTTCCAGGGGGGTGGTGGCTCCCACAGCAAAGCTTTGAGCCACAGCAGCAGCTCTGCTCCCTTTTGGCCAGCACAGCACAAGCAAAATGTGCTTTCCCCCCTTTACTCAGCTCTCTTGAGACCCCACTTGGATGGAGCCCCCCACACGTCAGAAGGACATGGAGCTGTTGGAGAGAGTCCAGAGGAGGCCACAGAGATGATCCTTGGGCTGGAGCAGCTCTGCTCTGGAGACAGGCTGGGGGAGGTGGGGGGTTCAGCCTGGAGAAGAGAAGGCTCCAGGGAGAACTTAGAGAGCAGATCCAGAGTCAAATAAAAACATCAGCAACATTTCAGAAAATATCTTGTCACTACCTACTTTTCTCTACATCCATATTTTTAGCTTGATTAACACAACGTTAGTTCATTTGGCCTTTGGAAATGTCCCCTTCCTCCTTCCTGCACTACAAAAGTATTAAAACCAGAGCAATGCACTGTACAGGATTTAAAAAAAAAACAAACAACCACAACAAAACAGTTTGATAACCTGCATTTCATAGAATTGCTTATGTTTACATACAAATTCTGTTCCTGAAATTTACCTCTGCACATACACCTGACTGGCTCCTTTCTCTGTTTCTGTTACTCCTTTTTCTTTAAAAGAAGAAGAAAAGCAAAGAGGTGCTGAAGGCAGAGCTGGGGCAGACCCAGCACTGCTGCTTCCTTCTCCACCCTTCAAGAGAACCTGCAGAAGGATTTGGCAGGAGCCTGCACAGACTGACCATGGTAAGACAAGCAGACCCAGGAAGCACCCTTGGCTGCTGCCCAGACACTGGGACACACCTGCTTTGCAAACTGGTCTCCTCCCAGCCACTCCCAGGTTGGACTCAGCTTCTCCTGGAGGTGGACACTTGGATGGTGAGACAGTCTATGCAGAGCTGGAAGGGCTGGGGAGACAGAACATGGACCAGGCTGATGCACTCAAGTGGGCAATGGGTCCTTGATCAGGAGTGAATCCCATGCCAGCTGAAGTGGGAAAGGACTAAAATAAATAAATAAATATGTCACTGCCTCCCAGCAGAGCAGGACAGGAGCAACCAGCAACCATGACCTTCACCACCATGACTGACCAGCTAAAAGCAAATTGAGTGTTTGTACAAATCAAGAGGTGGAAGCAAAACCCTTCAGTGAACACCTGAGGAGGCTGCACCTCACCTGTGCATCAGCTTTCCATGTGGAACAGCCCATGGGAAGCAGGCAGCTCTCCTCCCACTTACTCACTAGGAGGTAACTGCTGTAAAACCCCAGGTAGTGCTTTTTTTAGTTTCTCTGCTCAGAAAAAAGAACATAAAGTAACTATAAAAAAAAACCCCAAACAACCTTATGAAGAAACATGTGGTAGGATGAACCTTCTCTCCTGGAGAGAGTCCAGAGAAGGACCACAAAGATGATCCCTGAGCTGGAGCAGCTCTGCTCTGGAGACAGGCTGCGAGAGTTGGAGTGTTCAGCCTGGAGAAGAGAAGGCTCCAGGGAGACCTTAGAGCACCTTCCAGTGCCTGAAGGGGCTCCAGGAAAGCTGGGGAGGGGCTTGGGACAAGGGCAGGGAGGGAGAGGACAAGGGGGAAGGGATGAAAACTGGAGGAGGGGAGATTGAGGTGAGACATGAGGAGGGAATTGTGGAGTGTGAGGGGGGTGAGAGCCTGGCCCAGGTTGCCCAGGGAAGCTGTGGCTGCCCCATCCCTGGCAGTGTTGAAGGGCAGGTTGGATGGGGCTTGGAGCAGCCTGGGCTGGTGGGAGGTGTCCCTGCCCATGCAGGGGGTTGGGACTGGATGGGCTTGAAGGTCCCTTCCAACCCAAACCATTCTGATTCTGTGAAGCTTCTCCTGCTGGCAAGATAATTGGCTTTCACAGGTCATATTAAACAATCCATCTACCAAAAATGAGTTGCTGGACTGGAAGGTCCACTGGTCCAACCCACAAGTTTCAGTATCTCCGTTTCCATGCACACAACAGCAAACTCTTTACAGAACTTCCTAGTGCTGAGGTCAAGAAATGCTGCTCACAGGTAAACCATGAACATAATTGGCAAGCAGAGCACGTGTGCACACAAGAATCAAACACACACTTGGCACAGCCTGGTTACCCCTCAGGATTTTGCTTCAACTTTCACCTGGAGCATCAGGCAACATCTTCAGAAAAAGCTCCAATTTCACAAACTTGCATTTGAAAAAAAAGAGCAGTATAGTAAAAAAAAAAAGAAAGAACAACATTAGAGTTTAGCTACACGGGGTGACTTACAAATGGAGTAGAAGAAACACACAATGGTGTTAATTGCTCACAAAAATGGATCTTTCTGTAGCCTGTTTCGTTCCCTGGGTTTGTCTAAAATCCTCATCTCACTTCAAAACAAACTCCTTTCAAACTCCAAGCAATCCAAGGCTTCAGCTGCAGCCCTAAAAATGCACACACAGAAGAGGGGTTAATTTTAACCTTTAACAGAAACGTATTCTTGAGAAAGGAAACAAATGGTGTCCAAAAAAGCAACATTTGTGGTCTGAGAAACCACCCAAGGTTTTTAAAAGCAAGCCCCAGGGGGTGCTGACAGCTTGAGCCATGAGACACTGCTGTGCTGCTCCCAGCAGCTCATGTCTTCACTGCTCATTTGGTAGAAAAGTGAAGAAAATTCCAACCCCAAACCTTGATCCTGTTTAGTCACAGAGAAGCACTGAGCAAGCACCAGGGGACAGTGGCTCAGGCACCATTGGACCATCACACTTCATCCTACAAGGCCTTCCTAATGAACAAACCCCAGTTCAAAAAAAAGAGGGAAGTATTTAACAGTTACTTCAGTGGCATTCCCAGAATTTAGTTTGTAAGCAGCTTCCAGGCATTTCAGGATCCATAAACACATGGCAGAGAAGGAACTCGGTGCAAGCTCCTGCTGACCTGGAACCAGACTAGGGCTGCACATCACACCTCCAGGGATGGGGCAGCCACAACCTCCTGGACAACCTGTTCCAGCACCTTCCTGCCCTCATGGGGAAGAATTTCCTCCTCGTGTCTCACCTCAATCTCCCCTCCTCCAGTTTTCATCCATTCCCCCTTGTCCTCTCCCTCCCTGCCCTTGTCCCAAGCCCCTCCCCAGCTTTCCTGGAGCCCCTTCAGGCCCTGGAAGGTGCTCTAAGGTCTCCCTGGAGCCTTCTCTTCTCCAGGCTGAACACCCCAACTCCCTCAGCCTGTCTCCAGAGCAGAGCTGCTCCAGCCCAAGGATCATCTTCTCACAATGTCACAATCAGGACAGACTCAGCCTCATGCCATGGGCTGCTGTTCTGCCAGCAGAACTGACCATCCCTCACCTCCTTCCTCTGTCCCACACAGCCCTCCCATCCGACCTATTCATCATGTGACTGGGATATTCATTTTCCAGCTTAAAATGACACTGCACACAAACATAACTGTCCTCTTACCAAAGGTGACCATTTGAGGATGCCAGAATGAAGGCTATGCAGCTAGTCCTGGACAACCTGTTCCAGCACCTTCCTGCCCTCATGGGGAAGAATTTCCTCCTCGTGTCTCACCTCAATCTCCCCTCCTCCACTTTTCATCCATTCCCCCTTGTCCTCTTCCTCCCTGCCCTTGTCCCAAGCCCCTCCCCAGCTTTCCTGGAGCCCCTTCAGGCCCTGGAAGGTGCTCTAAGGTCTCCCTGGAGCCTTCTCTTCTCCAGGCTGAACACCCCAACTCCCTCAGCCTTTGTCCTTTTGGATAAAGGTCCTTTTGGGAGGACCTTACTATTATCTTCAACTACCTGATGGGACAGTGAGGAGCAGACACCTCCTGGAGGCACAGCAGCAGGATGAGAGGCAGTGGACACAAACAGGAACATGAGAAATTTAGTTCAATATAGGAAGTATTTTTTTTTCACTGTGTCTATGGTCAACCACTGGAACTGGTGTCCTAGAGAGGCTGTGGGTCTCCAGCCCTGGAGGCCTTCAGAACTCAACCAGACCACAGCAACGTGATGTAGGTGCACCTGCTTTGAGGAAGGTGATGACCCAGATGGCCTCTGGAAGTCCCTTCACCTTAAACTGGTCTAGCATTCTATGCACTGGGTTTTTATGCCAGTGACTTTCTCTGGACAGTCACAGAAACCAAGCATGTACAAAGACCTTTTGTTTTGCTTTTAAATTCACCTGCTAATCCCTCAGTTTTTATGTTTTCCATTTTTTAAAACACAAAATCTGAATGTAAATCACATTTTTTCAAACTGAAGTGATGACTGAGCACCTTGCTTGAAGCACCAGTGGCATCAGATCTGGATTCTAACACACCAGGGCTCCACCAGAGATGTCACCTGGAAATGCAGAGCATGTTTTCCTGGCATGGCCTTTTATTAAGGTGTCAAACCTCTTCTGTTAGTCATTGAAAACAATCTGTACATATTAATGGAGTCAGCAAAAATAGCTGTACAACTTCACCATGGTATGTCCCATTTATAGAGCTCATTGTGCTCTGAGAAGTGATTCTATTCATTGTTTAAATTCCCACAAAATAAAAACCCCAAACAATGACCAGCCTTAACATATATTAAAAGTAACATTACATTCTGCCCTGAAAAGTACAAAAAAATAACACTTTACATACACACTGGCTCCTAGACTGAGTCCTGTCATGAAGAGAATTTTGCACTTCAGTGGACAGTGCCTTCAACATCAAGAGCTCTTCAAAGTGCTTGGCAAAGAGTGTCAACACTATCCTTGCTTCCCAGAGGACCAAACTAAGGCACAGAGGTCAGCCACCCTGCCCACAGCCACACAGTGAGTGGCAGAACCAGCAGAGCAGACCTGGGGCTTGCCAGCTGTCCAGTGTAACCACCACAGCTCGAGGGCAAGGCTAAGGCCTGGCTGGGGAGCAGCACTGGGACAGAACAGCAAGGGGGGGATTGCAGGGCCAGGTAAAGGCTGCAGCAGTTCCAGCTGGAAACAAACAGATCTGGTGGTCAGGGAGTCAAGATGCACCTCAGGGAATGACCACAGAGCAAACTATGCAGAAAGAAAGACATGGTGTTAGCTTTGCACACAGTGCTGGTTACCTGACAGTAGTTCAGGCAATGCTGACTCCATCAGAGCAGTCACAGAACCATTTTGGTTGGAAAAGACTTTTAAGATCATCCAGTCCAACCATTAACCCAGCACTGCCAAGTCCACCACTCAGCTATGACCCTAAACACCACATCTGCATGTTTTTTGAACCCCTCCAGGGGTGGTGACTCCACCACCTCCCAGGGCAGCCTGTTCCAGTGCCTGAAAACCCATTCAGTACAGAAATGTTTCCTAATATCCTAATTTAAACCTCCCCTGGTGCAAGTTGAGGCCATTTCCTCTTGTTCTCCCCTTGCATTATGGGGGCTACATCCTGCTCCCCATCCCTGCCTTCCAGCTCAGGGGGCTAGGAGAACAACTGGACTTACTACTGAAGACTGAGGCAAAGAAGACATTAAGTTCCTCAGTCTTTTCCTCATCCTTGTTGCTGTCTCCCCCAACATCTTCAACACAGTACCCAGCAAGGTACCTTCTCTGAGGGGTCACAAAGAAATGCAAATCAAGGGTCAAATAACTCCTCAGTAGGCAGGGATGTGTATGAGGAAGAAAAAAACCACATGAATTGCTTCTGAGGTATGGACTAGGTGGTAGAGATGTACCAATGTGGAAAAATAAGTGGTCTAAAATAAATAAGGTTAAGAGAACTGAAAGCCACCCATCAAAAATCACCAAGAAGCACATCTCCAGATTATGCTGCAGGAAAGAAAATGCCAAAGGTGCAGTCACTGCCTGGGTGGGATGCATGCTGATGAGAAACAAGCATTTCAGAAAGCCTGTCCTGGAACAGGGTGCTCAGGAGATGAGTCATTTACTGGCAGAGACTGCTGGTGGGGTTCAGAAACATGGACACTTTGACTGGGTTCTTCACTGACTGGATGGGAAGGAACTGTCTCTTGGGGAGGCTGAGACTGTTGACTCGACTGCTGAGTCAGCTGCACGTGCTGAGCTGGGTGTGAAGATCCTGCCAAGTGGATTCCTTCATTCTGTCCTTGATGAGCATGGAGATGTGCTAGAGCTTCCTTGGAGAGAGTGATGACGTGCATCTGCTCAGGCTGGGCAGGCTCTATTTGGTTTGCAATCACATTGATACTTTGGATTTGTTCTGCTGGCTCCTGCTGAGCTGAAAGCAACAGGTTCTGCAGCTGCTGTGGTGGCTGAGCCAGGAGGGTGAGGTTTGCAGCCTGCTCTGGGGCCATGTTTGGGGCACCTTCTGCAGTGACAATACTGATGCCTTGGTTATGGCTAGGCACAAAGTTGATGTTATGGACTGCATCTGTGACCAGGAGCTGGATTTCCTGCCCTCCAGAGGTGGCAAGCTGATACTGCTGCAGCTGAAGGATGTTCCTCACTTGTGCACTGGTGTTGGTGCCCTGGGCAGTGCTGACCTCCTGGAACTGCTTCTCCTTGCTGTGAATCTTCAAATGAGACTTCAAGTTGTCGAGTCGAGCAAACTGCAAACTACATTCTGGGCAGGAGAAAGGCTTTTTGCCTGTATGTAAGATATAGTGTCTTCTCTTAGCACTGGCATCAGAGAAGGATTTCCCACAAATACCACAAGAATATGGCTTTTCTCCTCTGCAAAAGAATGGATTTGATCTCATTAAAATACTCACTTTGACAGTGCTGTTTTCTGCAACTGACTGCAGGATAAAAACCTGAAATTATTATTTCAGCAACCTGATCTAGTTAAAAAGGTCCCTGTGCACTGCAGAGGGGCTGGACTAGATGACCTTTAAAGGTCCCTTCCAACCCCAGACATTCTATGATTCTATTTTGCTTTACTAAAACGTAAGCACTTCAGAATATTGATGTTAAAAATGTTCTCCATTTGACTTTCTAATTACTCCTACTTGTCCCCACAAACTGTACTTTCATCAGTGTATACTCAAGAGCCACAAAAAACCCAAACTGCCCTCCTGTCACAGTAGCAGAGGTACAAATTCTGTGCTGCCAGACCTTAACAAGCATGCAACAGCTCACTTGGCACAGCTCTGAGCTCTGACCACTTTAGAAGTGTTTATTAACAGTGTGGGCTTTAAAACAAAAAGAAACATCCAACTCCTAACTTGCTGCCTGGCTCAAAGGTACAAGAAATTTTATTAGAAACCTCTCCTTTTACATAAAGCCCACAGCAGTTCTACAATGATTTCAAATCTTACATGCCTGTCTACTGCTCTGTAGCCACATAAAAATTCTCAGTAAAGTTTCCCCATAAATAATGTGAAGACATTGTCATTAACCAGGCACAAAATACAGAAGAATCATCTTACCATGCCTTGGCACTGACCAGTGGTGCCTTCTACTAACAATTATTTCTTTAAATCAATGAAACAAAAATCTTTATTCATCTCTAACCAGCCTCTCAAAATGCAACCAAGGCCTGGCCATCCTGGAATGCAACAAGCACTGCACACAGGCAGCAGATCAGAAGTGACATTTTTAAAGAGAGTGATGAAAAGCAAACATGCTCTACCTGTGGATTCGAATGTGAGTCTGAAGAGAACTTTTAGCTGTAAAGGATTTGCCACAAATTTCACAAGTGAAGGGCTTCTCACCTGGCAAAAAAAGAAATTTACATCACTCTTTATACAGCACTTCCCACCAATATATTAAAAAACCTTTTTATATTTTACCATGCACAGTATCAAGTGTATGTCCCTTTTGAGATGGGACAGATCAAGAAGTATTTCTACATTGTTAATACTGGTATTTAGCCTGTCTTTTCTGGAAGCAGAATACACTGCAAGCCAGTTTCTGCTAGAATTCATATCAACTGATCTGGTTTTGCAACTTACTTTGCCACTGTGCTTCCTCTTCTCACCTCCTCACTACCTTTGCAGAGTTCTATCAGCTTCAGACAGTGTCTTAAAAACCACACTGTTCTCTTCAATAGAAAATGCAGTATTTATAAGTATCTCAAGTTAGCACTACTCTGGATACACCAAAACTTCCCAAAGGCCAGAGTTCTGACCTCATCTATCCCAGGCAATTTAAAGCTTTGTTATTTTCACTAGCAAAGAGGAGGAAATTAATGAGATGCATAACTTGATCTTGTGCATACTGTACTACAACCACAGCAACACACTTAAGAATAATCTGATTTGGGGAAGAAACAATTCCCACTGCCTACAGCTATTTTAGAAGAAAAAAAACAACATTTACAAGTCATCTTATGAATTTACCCTTCAAAGAAAACTGTTGTAAGAATCTTATGCCTTGTTATCATGAAATGTTAAATCAACATTTTCATTGGTGTTGTCCAGCCATTCCAGTATCACCTTTCCCTCTACATCTCTTTAAACACCTTCTGACACACTTGGATTACACATCCCTACCAGCCCATATCCTGCCCACATCTGGTTTATGGCAGCAGAATAACAAGGTAAATGAAAGTCACTCTTTTTCTAGTCATTTTTCATAAGCACCCAGCCCTAACAAATGGGTGCCCAACTCACTTAGGTCACACACCTTCTGTTAGTACTTAGCTCACTTCAAGCTGGATGCAGATGTGGCTCTCATGATAAATTGAGTTCCCAGTTCAGGATTCCATCACAGAAGAGCTAACTGGCATTTCTGCAGCAGGCTTTATGAGAATGGGGGACAAAGATCTTCCAGTTCTAGGCACTGCTTCTGCTGGTCACTAAGGGCCACTGAGATACTGCAGGGGCTGGAGCATCTGCCTGTGAGGAAAGGCTGGGAGAGCTGGGGCTGTTCAGCTGGAGAAAAGGAGGCTGAGGGGGGATCTGCTCAGTGCTGATCAATATCTGCAGGGGGTGTCAGGAGGATGGGCCAGACTCTGCTCAGGGGTGTCCAGGGACAGGACAAGGGGCAATGGGCACAAACTGGAGCCCAGGAGGTTGAAGCTGGAGATGAGGAAACCCTTCTTGAGTGTGAGGGTCCCAGAGCCCTGGGCCAGGCTGCCCAGGGAGGCTGTGGAGTCTCCATCCCTGCAGACATTCCAGCCCCACCTGGCTGTGTTCCTGTGGGATCTGCTCTAGGGGATCCTACTCTGGCAGGGGTTGGACTGGGTGATCTCCAGAGCTCCCTGCCAACCCCTATGATTCTGTTACTTTGTAATACAAGCTTTTCTGTGCTCCTGCACTGTTCGTGTCACACCTCTCCATTAGCGACACAAGCACCCTTATGTACAAGCACAGCAGAAGTTCAGCCCACAGAGACAAGTGTCACTGGCCTAACATTGCTTTGCCTGTGCTCCTTCCATGCCAAAACACCCCCACCAAAACATGCCAGGCAGCATTACCTGTGTGTGTCCTTAGATGTTTCTTTAACTGAGCTGCATCCATGAACTTGCGGCGACACTGGCTGCACTCGGGCAGGGAGCGGCCTTGGCACAACAACAACAAAAGAAGTGTCACGGCACAAGTGAGCCCCTCTAGCTCTTCAGTCACCTTTGTTAAAGCACTTCCCTGTAAAATAACCACTGAGGTATCACGTAGAGATAAAACAAAAGGGGTTTCACTGCCTCTTCCCTACCGTGATTGTCACGCCCCTCTTCTCTGTTATGATCAAGGGAAGAGAGAGAACTTCTTGACTGTGAGGGTCCCAGAGCCCTGGGCCAGGCTGCCCAGGGAGGCTGTGGAGTCTCCATCCCTGCAGACATTCCAGCCCCACCTGGCTGTGTTCCTGTGGGAAGGCTGGGAGAGCTGGGGCTGTTCAGCTGGAGAAAAGGAGGCTGAGGGGGGATCTGCTCAGTGCTGATCAATATCTGCAGGGGGTGTCAGGAGGATGGGCCAGACTCTGCTCAGGGGTGTCCAGGGACAGGACAAGGGGCAATGGGCACAAACTGGAGCCCAGGAGGTTGAAGCTGGAGATGAGGAAACCCTTCTTGAGTGTGAGGGTCCCAGAGCCCTGGGCCAGGCTGCCCAGGGAGGCTGTGGAGTCTCCATCCCTGCAGACATTCCAGCCCCACCTGGCTGTGTTCCTGTGGGATCTGCTCTAGGGGATCCTACTCTGGCAGGGGTTGGACTGGGTGATCTCCAGAGCTCCCTGCCAACCCCTATGATTCTGTTACTTTGTAATACAAGCTTTTCTGTGCTCCTGCACTGTTCGTGTCACACCTCTCCATTAGCGACACAAGCACCCTTATGTACAAGCACAGCAGAAGTTCAGCCCACAGAGACAAGTGTCACTGGCCTAACATTGCTTTGCCTGTGCTCCTTCCATGCCAAAACACCCCCACCAAAACATGCCAGGCAGCATTACCTGTGTGTGTCCTTAGATGTTTCTTTAACTGAGCTGCATCCATGAACTTGCGGCGACACTGGCTGCACTCGGGCAGGGAGCGGCCTTGGCACAACAACAATAAAAGAAGTGTCACAGCACAAGTGAGCCCCTCTAGCTCTTCAGTCACCTTTGTTAAAGCACTTCCCTGTAAAATAACCACTGAGGTATCACGTAGAGATAAAACAAAAGGGGTTTCACTGCCTCTTCCCTACCGTGATTGTCACGCCCCTCTTCTCTGTTATGATCAAGGGAAGAGAGAGAACTTCTTGACTGTGAGGGTCCCAGAGCCCTGGGCCAGGCTGCCCAGGGAGGCTGTGGAGTCTCCATCCCTGCAGACATTCCAGCCCCACCTGGCTGTGTTCCTGTGGGATCTGCTCTAGGGGATCCTGCTCTGGCAGGGGGTTGGACTAGATCACCTCCAGAGGTCCCTTCCAACCCCTATGATGCTATGACTGGCACCTGCTCCCCAGCAAACACAGTCTCTTGAAGCTTTGTAAATTCTCATTTTTTCTCACTTCCTCTGGATGTAGCCTGACCTCCATCCTGCTCCAGAATGAGGTGGGCACTTCTTAATGCTTGTTTCCCTTTGCTAGTCCAAAGTAGAGAGAAACTACCAGGCAATTTGCACAACAAGCAATGGGCACAATTGCTTATACAATTCCTAGCTTCTATGTAACAGACTTCAATAATCAAGTTGTATGTCAAATACAACGTAACTCATTTTTAAGCATCACAAGAGTCCTTCTCAATTAACTATTTTTCTCAACATTTTCTTTATTATACACTATTTTGTCTTTTTCACCCCCTTCCTTGTTTTACCAAGGTATCACACCCAGCAGGGAAGCAGGGACTGAACAGATCACTGAAGAAGAACTTTCAGACTTAGTCAGTCTTGGGAAGACAAACACGTTGTACCTGTGTGCACTCGGTAGTGGCTCTTGAGCTGTCTCTTCTGGCTGAAGTATTTCCCACACTGATCACACGTGAAAGCCTTCTGCCCTGGAAAGGAAGCCACTGATTAAAATGTCAGCCACATCCAAAGCAAGACCAAGGAAACAGAATCATAGAAACTTTTTGGTAGAAAAGACCTTGAAGATCACCAGGGCCAACTGTTAACCCAGCACTGCCAAGTCCACCTTGGCATCCTCCAGGGATGGTGACTCAACCAGTTCCCTGGGCAGCCTGTTTCACTGCCTGACCACTCTTACAGTAAATAATTTGCTCCTAATGTCCAATCTAACCCTCCCCTGGTACAACTTCAGGCCATTTCCTCTGGTCCCTCAATATTTACTTGGGAGCAGAGCCCAACTCCCACCTCCCTGCACCCTCCTTTCAGGAGCTGCAGAGGGCAATGAGGTCTCCCCTCAGCCTCCTCTTCTCCAGACCAAACCCCCCCAGCTCCCCCAGCCTCTCCTCACAGGACTTGCTCTCCAGCCCCTTCCCCAGCTCGGTGTCTCCTCTGGACACGCTCCAGCCCCTCCATGTCCTTCCTGCAGAGAGGGGCCCAGAGCTGCCCCCAGTGCTGGAGCTGCAGCCCCACCAGGGCCAGGACAGGGCACCAGCACCTCCCTGCTCCTGCTGGACACACCATTCCTGATCCAGGCCAGGGTGGGGTTGGTATCCTTGCCCACCTGGGCACACTGATGGCTCATGTTCAGCTCCTGTCACCCAGCACCCCCACGTCCCTCTCTGCTGGGCAGCTCTCCAGCCATTCTCCCCCAAGCCTGTAGCTTTGCCTGGGGTTGTTGTGACCCAACAAGTGCAGGACTTGGCCTTGTTGAACCTCACACAATTGGCCTTGGCTCATCAACCCAATTAAAGAAACCAACAACCCAGCACACACAGGAGAGGTGGGGGAAATACCTTTTTTTCAGAAAGCCATCTCTGGGGGAAAAGAGAGGTGATGTTTGCCTTGAAAGCCTTACCTGTATGAAGGCTCATATGCTCCAGAAGAGAATGCTTGGTTGTCAGAGCCTTGCTGCAGACAGTGCAGCTGTAGGGCCGCTCCCCTGTGTGCATCCGCTGGTGGACTTGCAGGGAATGCTTCTGGGAAAAGCCTTTGCCACACTCTGTGCACTTGAAAGGGCGCTCCCCTAGGAGCAAGGGGTGACATGTGTAAGGACAGATGTGGTTCTGCTCATTGGATATTCACAGAATCACTGCATCACCTTGGTTGGAAAAGACATTCGAGATCACCGAGTCCAACCTCAACCCAGCACTGCCAAGTCCTTAACTAAACCATATCCCTCAGTGCTACATCTGTAAGACCTCCAGGGATGGTGACTCCACCACTGCCCAGGGCAGCCTGTGCCAGGGCCTGACAGCCCTTTCAGGGAAGAAATTCTTCCTCACATCCAACCTAAACCTCCCCTGGTGCAACTTGAGGCCATCACCTCTTGTCCCATCACTTGTAACTTCATTGAACAGCCTGATCCCCACCTCTTTACAACCTCCTCTCGGGCAGTTGTAGAGGGACGTAAGGTCTCCCCTCAGTCTCCTTTTCTCCAGGCTGAACAGCTCCAGCTCCCTTAGCCTCTCCTCCTAAGACATCTGCTCCAAACTCTATTCTAAGCTGATAAAGAGATATATTGCAATGTAGTGGATACTAAAAAAATACTTTAAAATAGTGATAAGGCAAATGAAGAGACATGCTTCACAGAGCAATAAAATCACTCTTTAGGTGCTGCCATTCAATTCAACATTTAAACAGAGAGATGATCCACTAGACTGCAAACAAGGCAGGACATAAAGGCTCCAAGATCTGCTGACAAGCATAAAACAGGGAAGGCAGTTTCAGAGGCACACCATAACAATTTGGATCAGTGTGCTGTTTCAGACAGTTCTTGCTGCAGACCACAGCCCACACTCCCAAGAACTAGCTCACTTTTTGCAAGAAGTCACTACACCCTGGCTCCAAAGCAACAGTCTCCCAGTGCCTACCCGTGTGACTCCGCTGGTGAATAGCTAAGAAGTGATTATACTTAAATACTTTGCCACAGTCCTTACAGCGAGCTTCAGGACCTGCACGTTTTCTCTTGCCACAAGCCCTCTTTGCCAGTCCTTTTTCATCCTCCTCCCCGAGAAGTTTATAATCCTGCAGTTTGATTGACCTCCTTATTCTACGTTTGCTGTAACGGCTCTGGGTGCTCTGTACCCCCTCAGATTTGGGATCATAATTCTCATCCTTCTCAGCTGACAGATCGACAGCAGCTTCAGAGCCACGGGCAGGCTCAGTCTCTTCTGTATCCTTCCTGGCTGCAGCCTGGTCACCAACAACTGCTTCTTCTTCCGTGGTGTCTCCTTTCATGAAATTCTGCTTGTTCTGCATGGAGTTGTTCTCCCTCAGCTGCACATCTTCGGCAGGATTTGTGGCTGGTTTTTCTTCTTGGATATTCCTGACCTTCCTGGGCCGCCCTCGTTTCCGCTTGGGTGGCTCGTGGCTGTTGGTCTCACTGGAGGTAACAGCTCCAGAGGCTCCACTGTTGGCCAGAGCTGCTGAGCCATCCCCTGGGCCACGGCCACCCCCACAGCCTGCACAGGCCCCTACCAAGTCATTCACTTTCAGCAGCTGTGCAGTGGCCAGGATCTGCTCTGTGCTCTTCTCACTGGCACGGAGACAGCCGGTGTAGATGAACTCCAGCAGCGCCCCGAAGGTGTCTGCGACCATCCCCTCCAGCACGTAGATGGACTGTCCTACCTCCCCCTCCTCCACAAACATCATGGAGAAGTACTCACTGCTGGCAGCAAGCAAAGCTTTGTGGGCTCTGAACTGCACGTTCTCCACTATCAGGGTAATGTCACAAAGGAAATCCTTTCTCCTTTGTTCTTCCAAGTTGGCCAGGACGGTGTCTTTGTGGGCGCTGGACTGGATGACAACCTGTTTCTCAGCAGCATCAGCAGCTGTTCCTGCCATCTTTTATTGGGCATGTGGAAGGTGGTACCTACAAGCACAGAAGAGCTTTGATGAAGAAACGTGGTAGAAGCACAACAAGCACCACTGGGTTTAACAGACAACAGAGCTCAACAGTTTCTGAATCATCACAGGCTGGTTTGGGTCGGGAGGGACTTGAAGGGTCATCTAGTTCCACCCCCCTGCATGGGCAGGGACACCCAATCCATTCTGAAGCCTCTGAAGCTTCCTTCAGAAAATCAGCACTCATGCTGGCAACAGACTTTCTCCCAAGTGTTTGTAATCCCTAGGAGATGGCTACAGTTTCTCCTTCGACCATCATCACCCCCTGTTATTCCACCAGTTTATCTCTGCAAAGTGCAGAGCAGCTGAAGAAAACGGCCACCCCTTCTGAAAAACCCTTTCACAGCTAAATCAATGGAACAAAGAGAACTCTCTACTCACAGCTCCTAAGTGGCAACAAATAATCAAAACAACAAACCTCAACTGCAGCTTCACCCCTGCAGATGTCACATTTCAGGATATTCAAGGCTATGAAATCCTGCAGTGAATGATAGAGCTTCACTGGCATCAGGGTGGGAGGACTCCAGGCCTTCTTTTACCAATTTCTGTCATTCTGAAGATTTATCTGTAAGAACATTTACCTGCTAAGCTTCAGCCCACGGAGGTGGGCACTAAAACCAAAAAACCAGCAGCTTCTCCCAAGAACTCTGTCTGAACCAGGGTTGACTATGTTAGCTGGTAACCATCAATCTGTAAACCAACTGTAAATCTGCAAAAATCACTGACCAGCAAAAAAAACCCCAAAACATAACCCACCCACTTCAGAAGAATCCAGCAGATAATACTACAGAAAAGATTTTAAAAGGATCAGCTGAGCCAAAGGTGAAACAGCTCAGCTCCCTGTCTCACCTGAAGATACAAGGTGTCATTTTCCACACACACCTACTCGAGCACAGCCAGCAGGGAGCACAACAGCTCTGAGCAGCCAAGGAACAGCACAGCCTGCACACAGGTGATACCTAAATGCTACCGAGGTCGCCAAAAAACGGATTCCCCAGCCCCATTCGGCTACCAGTCCGTTCGTGCCGCAGCCGAAGTGTGCGTCTGGGAGCTGGAATTCCCGGAGGCTGCGAGGCTGGTGCTGCTGAGCCCCGGGCGGGTCGGAGCCAGCCCTGCCTCGGGAGAGCAGGGGAAGGCTGAGGAGCTGCTGCCAGCTCTGCCTGCAGCCCCTCC